ACAGGGCTAAGGTTGAAGGTTTTCGTTCGTAGGCTTGTTCTTGTCGAAACGGGGCAGCCTAGCAGGGTTCCTCAGCATTGCTGTATCCTTCTTAGCACCATAACCTCAGGACGGTTCGTGATTCAGAACATGCTACACAAAGTGGTGCTTAGAGTAGAGACAGTGCACTGGTGCGAAATCGGCATCAAATTATCAGAATTCATGGGAGCTGCCCAAGCCAACAAGCACGGTTAGGGTTCATAATAGGGTTTTGGGTTTCCGCCCGATTCAGGATTCAAGAATTCGTCTCTAGTTGATCTGGTCAAGCCCGATTTTTTTGGCCTCGGTTCTGGTTTAGGATCTAATTTGCGCTTACGGGCTTAGGTCGTCCAGGTTTTCGGCAAACGCTGCATGGCCTGAGCCTTGAAGCCCAAACCCGAACCCTCAAACCTCTAACCCTCAGCCTTTCTCGGCCTGCATACAGCCCGAGCCTTCGTCCCAAACTGCTGGAGCCCTGGTTCCAGTCCACTACATTGTGGAAATAGGGCCAAGGAAAAAATTCGGGTTCCTTATATGAATCGAAATATATTTGGGGTTATAGGGCCAGGGTTTCTTATTCAGGTTCCTCTTTCAAACGCAGGAGCCCTGGCTCCACTCTGTTTCAAAGCCCGGTCGCAGCTCCCACCTTAGCCGAAATACTGCATTCCGGCCATCGGGCCGAAAACGAAGTGTCATCGACGTCAGTGACACGCTGCAGTGTTGTAATCTAGGTGGCAATTTGGGAAACTTTTTAATTTCCCTTATGGTTCCTATAGAGGTACCTATTCATAAATATTGTTGAGAGCCCCAAAACTACAACCCTGTAATATGATAAGTAGAATATGGCATGAGATAACGTCCCATCGTATCTTACCATCGTGTCATATATACATATATATATATATATATATGTCAAATCACATCCTGTCATATCACATCACGACATATTACATCGTTTCACATCATGTCGCACAATACCATACCCTTCCATACCATGCCATACCATATCGTGGCAGACCAGATTAGATCATATCATGTCATATCATATCATACCATACGAGGCTATCGCGGGGTTTACGTTTGGAGTCCGACACCTTACACCCGAGGTCCTGAACCCCGGAACTTCAGCGCCAAGCCTGTTCCATTTCCGGGAAGCTAGGGCGCAGACGCGATGCTGCTCATGTAGGTTGGATTATGTACTGCTGGAGGACACGGTTGGCGGCAAAAAGGCACTGTGTGATCCTCAGCCCTTGGAGCGACTCAGGATACATAAAAGCCCCCTCCTAATGGCTCGACTGTCATGGTCATGAAAGAAAGGTTGTTTGCCGCTGAGAGGTCCGTTACTGTGCAAGGTTTCCGCATGCTGCATGTAGCAGGGTTTAGGGTTTCAGGTTTAGGGTGCTATCTGCTGAGTAATCAAATTCCCTGCGGCCTTGCGACTCTATCTAACAGAGCTTGTGGAGGAAACTGTCAGAGAGCCCAGAGATTCTTTGTAGAGCTTCCTGTTGGGCTTTGCTGCCAACCCTGATATAGGTTTTCGACCCGAACGCTTCATGGCCTTCTATGGCCCTAAACCCTAGGTACCCCTGAATCCTTTGCTGTGCGCAGTTAGAGTTGCTTTGCCCTTTGAGGTTTTGGGTTGAGGGTTTAGGATAGGGGGGGGTTCTCAGGGTTTGGCGATTTAGGTTTTTGAGCCTACGGGGCACCCCAGTTCCAACATAAGCGCCAATCCCAACGCCAACCCCTCAACTTTATTCCTAGATGCCCAAACCTACCCAGAGCCTCCAAAACCCCTTAATTAAGGACTATACCTTAAATTATAATAGGATCCCTAATATGATTTAAGGTATATTCCTCTGGGTAAGCCCGGAACTGCAGAACCCAAGGCTTGAGCCCCCTCCAACAACATCGCCTTCGCATCTTTCGGATCGAACATGCAGCTTCGTGTGCCAGCAGCTGGTGCGTGTAGCTCCCTGATTTGAATATGGAACCATCCCAAGCGCGATTCCTCAATTGCCTTAGCGTTTTGGTGTTAAATGGTTTGGAAGCCCTGGGTGCTAAGCCATGCCCAACAGCCCAAATTTGGGGCCCTAACACACCCCAAGACTTGATCTCAACTTGGACAAACTTTTTTCATACAACACAGAACATTTCTGCTTCTTGACAATGACAACGGTGATCTTCCATCGCGTATCGGAGGTTCCCCAAACCCAGCTGTTTCAGGGTCAGAATTCGAGCTGTATGATGAAACCCGCAGCCCGAAGCCCACAGCCCTAGGCCTCTAAACCCTAGGCCCTAAGCCACTACACCTATGGCAAGTTCCGCCTAGAATGGCGGATCCGTCCGCGTCGACGAAGGTGCGCCGGAGAAGTCGACTGGTCGGGTCTGTTGTGTCTAAACGAGGGCATTAATGATTAGTACTAAGGCTTTGGGGTATGGTATACGGTATACTGCAACCACATAAGCAACCCCATGGAACAATCCAGTAAAGTTTAGACTTTTCGGATCCGGTCTACGGTTCAATTCGTTGGGTGTGGGGCTACTAGGAGTTACCCCAGAGCCGCATTCCAGTAATTATTTCGGGCCCAAAGGTGGCACCATCCCCCAAATCCTCGACTTCAGCCGCACACGTCAAACCCAAACCCTAAACCCTAAACCCTAAACCCTAAACCCTAAACCCTAAACCCTAAACCCTAAACCCTAAACCCTGAACCCTAAACCCTAAACCCTAAACCCTAAACCCTAAACCCTAAACCCTAAACCCTGAACCCTAAACCCTAAACCCTAAACCCTAAACCCTAAACCCTTAACCCTTAGGCAATGTCTGCACGCCAGATCCCAAGCCTTAAACTTCGCCCTGAACTTGATCCCGAAGCCGAAGATCCCACCTAGGATGCCCAGTAGTACCCTTTTTGTAGTCCTAGGTTCCTTAAAGGGATCTATAAGGGTTCTATAAAGGGTTTAGGGTTTCCGAAAATTAGGGGCTAGGATGCCCGGTAGTACCCTTATTCCCTTTTTGTAGTCCTAGGTTCCTTATAAAGTTACCCAGTACCAAAAAGAGAGGCCTTTTTATTCTTAGGTTACTGGGTATCCTAACCACCTCCCAAATTCCACTCCCTCACATTTGGGCTCACACGCCCCGCTCAACAGCTCCCAATCCCTTGAGGCTACACCCCAGACCCGGTTTAGAGCCAGACAGAGCACGTCTGAAACCACCACTTTGTGAATCCAAAGCTTGAAACCCTCAACCCCAAACTCCTATCGTCAAGCTCCAAACCCACAGCCCCAAAGCCTAAACTCTAAGCCCGGAGCCCAATATTCTAGTGGAGCATTCAGGGTTTTGAACGGCTTGTAAAGGCCTTAGAAGAAGCCTTGTACAGCTTGCAAAGCATCCTCAAGCTACCCTACATCCTGCATCAACGCTGAATCCTAAAGCCATAGGCCCTAAACCCTGAGACCTTAAAGCTTCCAGTAAAACCTTGCAACAAAACATACCTAGAACTAGAACCCGAGTTTCCTTTTCAGATCCTATCTCTTTAAAGAATGCTTATGCATAGACTGTTGACACAGATCCTTCAAAAGGAACACTATGAGGATTCTTCAAAGGAACATTAGTAAAACACAGAGCCATTAGTGTTGCTAGAAGCCTTGAGTAGAATCCTTCAGAGACCTGTTAGGAGACCAGGGCTACAGCGCAATTGGCAAGCAGCTAGTTGAACTGGTGTTTTGCTTTCCCTGAGCTCACGAATACGAAGGGCTGCCGAGCACCCTGAAAGAGAAACAACAAAGGCTCGTACAGGGTCGAACCTGGCACACAGTGCGGAAAGCAAGCTCCAACTGTGCAGAGAGCTTCCTGCAGCAACTCCTGGAGCCTTTGAAGGCCTCGGTGCGCACCGAGTGGGCCAGGTCCTCGTGCAGGGCGTCCTCCTGCGTCTTGCAGACCGAAATCTGGGAAAAGAGACTTTAAGACTTTGTCATTGCAAGGCTCTTAAGCACAACAAGCCTATCTATCTCTTTATTTTGCGGAAATGTGCTTTAAGAGCACCTGGACGGAGGGAGCGGTGGCAAAGTGGAAGTGCAACAGGACGGGCTTCTGCAGCCCTTCGGCCTCTGGACTCCGTCGAAAAGTGTTCATCCTCGATGTGCCATTGGCTTTATAATAATAATTATTATTATTATTGTTATTATTATGATGATTATTATTATGATGATTATTATTATGATTATTATGATTATTATGATTATTATGATTATTATTATTATGATTATTATTATGATTATTATTATTATCTTTGTACTTCATGCAGAGAACAAATTCAGCCACCCTCAACCATAAATCCCAAATCGTAAGACCGTTAAACCAAAGCCCCGCCACAACAAAAAAAACAATAAACGCTGGGACCCTGGACCATGAACCAAACCCTCAAACGCAAAGCTCCTACTTGCAGGTTCAGGGGCAATCATAGATGGATTTACAAGTAGGGCAGCCAGAGCTATAACCCTCTTTAAGGAACTTACCGCCCACTTTTAACTACCCATGAACCTCCAGCTTTCCCCCCCGCCCTTCCCTCAAGACAAAGACACATAGACATCGCATGTTTGTATGCCACCACTTTCGGAATCCATCCCCAGGCCCCAGCCCTAGCCGCTAGCCCCAAACCCCCCCCCCCCTTCTTCCAGCAGCCCACAGTCCAGCCCCTGCCATCCCCAACCCCCGAGCCTGCCCAGGCTCCTTTTCAAAATCATATTGCAATAGGAAACTGTCGGTCAGCATTTCTCGGGCATCCAAACCCTTAACTTAACAATCTCCGTAAACCAAAACCCTAAAGGCCCTAAACCCTAAACCCAAAGGCCCTAAACCCTAAACCCTAAACTCTGAAGGCCCTAAGCCCTAAACCCTAAACCCTAAACCTTAAAGGCCCTAAGCCCTAAGCCCTAAACCCTAAAGCTTAAAGGCCCTAAACCCTAAGCTCTGAAGGCCCATGTGGTTCGGCGGCGCGGTCCCGCGAGAGCCTCCCGAGCCCGGGGAGTCGAAGGCGGAGGCGTCGCCTTGCGACCTTTACGCCTAACCTCCTAGGTAGGGCTTTGGGAGATTTGTATTTTCCCTTATTGCGCTTAAGAGGATGTTGTTTACTAATATTTTTCAAAGGCTTTAAAAGCCCCACCTAGCCTCTAATCTAAGCCCCAAAGCCTTACCTGGACCCTCAATATTTTAATTTTGTAAGGAGTTAGATCAGGAACTTGAAATGACTCAGGAACCCTAAAACAGGTAGGTTACCTGGGGTGAAGGTAACCCCGACAAGCTCTAAAGCCGCAAGAAGAGGCAAGCATTCCCGACCAGTCCTATAATCCAAAGAAGAGGCTTTGGCTTCGCAAAAGCTCTTGGACAAACGGACGGCCGACAAGAAAACGTGGCCAACAGTCGCGCCCGCAGCAATGGCTGACCCTTACTAAACGGGACCCTCAAAGGGACCATAGTGTATAGAGATACCATAGGCAAGCATGCCTATATATATATATATATATATATATATATATAGTACACACGCGTACATACGCACAAACATATATACACGTACATACATCCCCAAGCTCTTAAGCGCCGAAACTCAAAGTCCCATCCTGGAGGCCGACAATCTGCCAGTGCAGCTCGAAGAAGAAGGCGCGGGGCTTCGGCAGAACTCTTTGAAGAGACGTGGAGGTGTGCGGGGGAATCTGAGCCGTTTGGGATTAAGGATTTATGTTTTCTGGGGTTTAGTATTTTGGGTTTTCAGGCTGGGGTTCGGTTTTGGACAGGGCTTCCACAATAACCTTGAGCCCTAACCCCTAAGCCCGGAATACTTATGGGGGCTAAGCAGGCCGCCTTCAATCTTTTGAGGCTGACATGATGCTGGATTCATCTCCTTTTGGGCCAGGCTGCTCAGCTCCCTTAAGAATATGGGGTGGGGGGAGGCTTTTAAACGTGAAGGGTCCGTAACTTCACCCAGGAGCTGAAGCCTTTAACCATACACCCTGGACCCTCGCTTTACAATCTCCCGGATGGTCTTGAAGAGGCAGTTGCTCGTAGCCTGAGAACTCCTCAACCATGAGCCATATATAGCCTTGAAGCCTTAAAGCGCACTTTTGCTCGACCCCTTTAATGGTAGGCGGCGCCTCGGCGCGCCTGGCGCAAATCTTCGAGTTCTTGGACCAGATCGAGGCTTGACTTGACACCAGGCTTTAGGTTTTAGGGTTCAGGGGTCAGGGTTTAGGGCTCAGGATTTAGGGTTTAGGCTGGACACCAGAGCAAGTTTCCGAAGCCCGGAGCATTAAACTCGAACATCCCCTAGCCCTATACCCTAAACGAAACCTATCTGCCCCAATCCCTGAACCTCACACCGCAAAACACCATGAAGCCATACAGCCCTAAGCCCTAACTCCGGAAGCACCCTGAAGCCCCAAACCTTGAAACCTAAGCGTCCTCGTCAAGCCCGCCAACTCACGGCCCTACAGCCGTAAAGGGTTAAACGCTACATTGAAATGCCCACAAAAGCCCTAACGCGCAGCCCGACTACCGGAGACTCTCGAAGCGATGCAGCAGGACTACCATCCGAGTCACCTTGTGGCATGGCTCCAGCCGGGGCCCCCGGCAGTGTTGTGTTGTCTTCCTTATGTACTGGGTTCTATATACGGTTCCACAGTTCTGGGGTTTTGGGATCGGCCGTCACTGCCAAAAATCATATCAAGGATCTGGTCTTTGAGGTTAGGATTTATGGATGTGTCCGGGCCCAGCGTTGAGAACTGTAAGGCTCGTGTCGACCTCGGACTCATGGTGGCTTGTTCTTTTCCAGTTGAAGGTTTGGGATTTCGGGTATTGGGCTCGGTCTTTGCACAGACGCCGTGGCAACGTTGCACCTTGCTCACGCATGAGCGGTGCTTTGTAGTCACTTTGCAGTTGTAGGTAATGGTAACCTTCGGACAGAATGCTTGTGCAAGCACGGCGCGAGCCCCCCTCATTCTTCATAATCAATGGCACTTTCCATTGTATGTACAACAGTGTAAATGCTTCGGTTGTGCACTCATTGTACAATTGACTGCACATGGTGGAAAAGACAAGTAAAAGACACCATGCTGTTGGAGTACCTGCATTTTCTTGCACAGCTTGCGCATAGACTTTAAACCCTTGTCCCTGAACCCTACACCTCTAGACTCCAAGCTCCGCATCCCCAGATCCTAAACCGATATACTGAATCCCGAACCCTAAAACCCTATCTCTTGCCTGGATGCTCAGCCTTCGTCCGGGACAGGGTCGCAATTCGCAATGGATGTTTCGGTCGACGGCCCCAGAAGCTTTGGGAGGAGAGAGACCCCCCAGAATCTGATCGAAGACACGCTGCCCGGTCCAAGGGCACCCAAAGAGAACTGTGTAGAACCTTCAAGGCAACCTGTCCTTAAAGGAACCCTTAGAGAACCTTTAGAGGAAAACGTAAAGGAACCCCTAAAGCAGACTTTGAACGAACCTTTCGAAAGCCCTTAAAGCAGCTGCAGCTGCAGGTCTCGCCTGGTCACAATCGAGGAGGTGCCGATGGCCCCAGTGGCTCCATTCCAGGACTCCGTGGCCTACTACGGTTCAGGGCTTTGGGAGGTCCAGGGTTTAGGCTTTCGTGTTTAGGGTTTAGGGGTTGAGGGATTAAGAATTCAGGACTGAGGGTGTTTGGTTTAAGGGCTTTCCACGAGCCTCGACCTAGATCGGAGCTACTTGCGATCTTGTCCTTTGGTTTGTTCATTCAAGTCTTCAGTCTATGGCTTTTGTCGACTTCAGGGGTTCGCGCATCACGAACCACTGTTTTCAAGATCTAGACTGGGGGTCCCTTGCTTTCGGGATCTCCAAGAAAGGCGTTATATAGAAGCCTGAACAGCTACTAATCGTAGTGCTTAGTGTCCTTCTGTAGGTTTATACTAAACTCTAACTTCAACCTGGTTCGACATGTTGAGGCCTCTGTAGTATAAAACCAATGACCTCAGACCCAACTCCTGGACCTTGTGCTCCGGGGCGCAGGATCACTACGACAAGCTCGATGTAGCATCCGATGCAGACCCTGTGCCCGGGTGGCAGGAGTTACAAACGATGGACAGTTTCGGAATCAGAAGCTTGCTACCAGTGGGCAGTGTTGTGACTCTAAATTGGTTCATTGACGCTAGTACCTAGTGGTACTCGTGAAACTGCCATTAGTTTCGATATTGCATTTGTCAGTTGCCGGCAATCTCAACCCGAAGAACCGAACCCTTAGCCCTTTGCCCTGGACTCTTGACTAGATGCCCCGATCCATAAACAACTCCACAATCCAAACTCCCAAAGTTTATATAAACCCTAAGCCCCAAGCCTTAAGCCGTAGCATAAAGGCTCGGAGCTTTTGAACCGTGGGCCGTCGAATGCAAGCTCTCCACAGCACTCGAAACCCTCTTCGATAGCACCTTACCGGTTCCTGGGGGTTTAGACAGGGTTCCTTAAGGAGTTTCGGGTTCCGTAGTGGGTTCGTTCAGAGTCGCCGAGTGTGTAGATCCTCTGGCCTCTCAGGGTTCCGTAAGTCGAGATAGGTGCCCGTCAGTTCCCTAAACCCTAAAACCTCAAGCCTTAAACCCTAAAAAGCCCTAAACCCTAATCTCTAAATCCTGACATCGGGTCTAGGGTTCCCATGGTGGAGTAAGGTTTTGCGACAAAAAACTTTGTCACAGCACGATCGCCTTTTAAGGTTTTTTGGGTTAAAAGCCCAAGGGTTAGCTATTAGTAGGAATATACGAATCTAAATTCGGCTAATAGGTGCATTTTCTTCAGCCCTTCTCGCTTCGCCCCCTGACCCCGCGCACAACCATTCTAACCCCAAGGTCTAAAACCCTAAACCTGGAGCACCCAACCCTAGACCCTAAACCCTTACAAAAACCCCAAAACTTAAAACCCCAAAACCTAGAGCCAAACACCCGGAACCCTAAACCATCCAACAAGTCCTTAGAGCTTGAAGCCCTTAAACTAAAGCCAAAGACAAACGGCTTCCTGGCAAGGCCAGCATCCGTCGGGCCTATCGAAAGTTGGCGCTAGCGACCCACCCGGACAGCGGGCCTTTGGGGCTTTCTGTCAGGGTTTAGGGGTGAAGGGATTTTCGGATTTAGGAGTTTAGAGATTTTGTTGAAATCCTTGTGGGCTTTCCGGAAACGCTGGCTCAGCAATGCCCCTTTGAATGAGGTGTAAACGGGTTTCTGTTCGGACCTGTTTCGCAAGCTTTCTTGGTTTTGGTTTTCGGTATTACGGTTTAGCGTTTGGGTTTAACCGGGGCCGCGACTGAAGTTTAAGCCCTCAGCCCTGAACCCGGAACGTCCACCGCCGTCTCCAACCCCAAAGCCTCAAGCCTAAACCCTAGAATCCTAAACCGATCTCACGTGACAAGGATAGCTGAGGGCCAGTGCCTACAGCCAGGTGCATGATGATGTTTGCGAGAGGTCTTGTAGGTACTGGGACCTTGTGCTAGTGAGGGTCTGCATGTTAGCCACCCTAGTCAAGTGAGACCTCTGTCGTGCTGCCAAGTGGGTGAGCCTTCGGGTGCATGTGTTGTGCTTGGATGACGCTGTTTTACACAATTCTGGGCTGTCGCATTGCTCTTCCACGGAGGTAGGCGCTTGGCACAGGCACATACTTCGGCACAGGAGCAATTAACTCTGGTGTGTCCAGCAAGCAAGCACCAGTCCACAGAGCCAGGTAGAGACTTCCGTACCGTCCTTCGCAATTGTATGTGATGATGCCACGGGAGTTGCTCGACGTAGGGGCGGGGTGAACTCCAACCCGTTCTGGATGTGCCGCTTGCTATCCGCTCATTGTCGCTGTAGTGTTGTTATGTCTTGGCCATTGTTCAATTAGCCGTTGCTTGGTTGAATCCGGGGAAGACAGCGGCCCGCTTTTTCGGGTAGCATGTGTAGATTTATACCCTGTGTCGGGATGAGAGAGAGAGAGAGAGAGAGAGAGAGAGAGAGAGAGAGATTCAGAGCTACCAGAGCACTTGGGGCGAACCCCCTTGATGGCGCGGATCCCCGGAAGGGATTAGTTACTGTGTCTGCCTGCCAGCGGGTTAGAGGGTGATTCTGCAGGTTGAGGGTGAGTTGGGTGGGTGCGCGTGCAGGTCCGATTCAGTCCACGCCAGTATATTGAGATTGCTCCGTATCGAGTTTGGGTCCAATGCCGGGGCATTCTACTTGGATTAATGAGGGCTAGAAGGGTGTGTTACTGTTGGCATCAGGCGGTGATAGGTCCAAAACAGGCTCCTCCTACTGTGGAAGTCTAGGGCCAACTCCGCTGATGGAATCCTAATCCCGGCCAGCAGGACAAGCCCAACGGCGACCGGGTGCTCTTCGAGGTCCGTCCCCGGGTTTGTCGAGGTCTTCGCGAATGCTTTCACAAACATGCCAAAGGTGTCCGTACGGTCATCTGTGAATCAGAACGTTTTTTCCGGATTCTAGATTGCAAAAGAGATAGTGACTCTCATGAGGCGATTTGTCCATGGATACGTTTGTTTTCCTAAAGTTTGTGGATGCCACCGTTGTGGCAGTACTGTCCCCCATGGTCCGGCGCCTGAGCTTCGCGAAAATGCCATGCTTAAGGTTAGGGTGTCCCGGTGAGAGTTTCGAAATAGCTTGAACCCCCCCCCGCCCCACCCCGACCCCCCGAAACCCTAAACCCCGAGTTTAGGACGAACGTTCTCAAATTAGATGAGGCTTCTTCTTCTGCTTTGAGGAATATTCCTTCAGTATGTAATATGGTCTTTGTATTTGTGGTTTCAGGAATATTCCTAAGGGTTTCCCTTGATGTTTAATTTCCCTATACCCTAAAGCCCTGAACCCGAAAAGCCGTAAATCTAAAACCCTAAACCCTAAAACCCTAAACCGCAAACCCCTAACCTCTAAACTAAACCAAGGAACATTCTTCAGTTTCTGGGAACCATAAAGCTTGTCAAGGCTGAAGCTCGAAACCAAAGGCACAGATTGTTTTGAGGGGGCTTGCACCATTAAGGAGTTTGTACGGCAAGGGTTGGGTTACACAAGGGTTCAGAAAAGGGCATAATGAGAAGAGCTGTAAACAAGAGACGAGACCAGGGATCAGGGGATAGGTCATGATTGCGTGACAGCGCTCACAAGGGGACAGCTTTAGGGATCTAGTGGCCGGTTCGGAGGATCTGTTTTTGGTGTTTCTACTTTTCCTTAACCTCTTTTCGCGGTCAAGATCCTCGGGGTCTAAAGCCCTGGAGACATCAGAATAGTCTTAGTTTATATAATAGAGCTCATGTCTTACTTTGTCTCTATCTGCAGCTATTTGTTGTTACTTTGTGGTTTGATGCATCCTTCCTTGCTTGTAAGGGTCTACATATGTCTTGTACTTGTCTTTGTTTGTCTTCATTGGATAAATCTACTCCTGGTGGGCCGCAGTCTGGCAAGGTCAGTTTGGCTTTGCATGGAGTCCCTTGCCCTGCTGGTAGAGCTTGACTCTGCCCTGCTCAGGGTCGGTCTTCCTCCGCCGCTCGCCGGGTGTGGGCCACACCGCCACTCGGGGCCAACCTGTTCACAGCGCAGAGCAGATGCCCATGAAATTCCTTATGCTACCATCTCATGCGGCGAACATCCCAGAGTGGCTGACGAAGATGGGCGTACATTTCCAAGGTTCCAAGACATGGCAGGCACAGGGAACACTCTCGTTGGGCCGCTGGAAATGGAAGAGGCCCATCGACTTGGCATGGACCGTCTGGTGCGATGCATGCACAGAGAAGCGAGAGAGAGAGAGAGAGAGAGAGAGAGAGACAGAAAGACAGACAGACAGACAGTTGCAAGAACTCGTAACCCGTAAGCCCGAAACCCTGAAACCCGTAGACTGCAGCGCTGCGTCCATCCGCGTCCCAAATCTTGATGCCCGCACCCAAAACCCTAAAGCTCGGACTCCAAATTCCATGAGCCATTCATATCTTGCTTTAACCCAGCAAAAGCACTGGAAAGAGCAGCTATTGGGAAATTACCCTTCCTGCAACTTTGGCCAAATGCAAAGCTCATGCACAGCCCTTCGGAACCTTCATAAAACCGTATAGAGCCGTTAAATATCTTTGTGCTTCTTATTATAGATCCTTTTGAACAAAACTCTTCAAGCCCAATGCCTCAAGAACCCTCATAAGGACCAGAACAACGCCTGTACAGCCTTGATCCCTGAACTGCCAGTCCCTAACCGTCATCCCTAAGCCCTGAAACCCCGAATCCTCAACTTTCATTTCTAAAAACTGCATGTAAATCCCAACACTAGAATCCACCAAACCGTGAAGCCCGAACCCTTAATCCCTGAACCCTAATCCCTAAACCCAAACCTTAAACCCTAGCCCCCAGAGCTTTTGGCTTCCTTCCACAGGAGGTGGCGCGTGCATACGCCGTGCTTAGCGACCCGCAGCAGCGGGAGGCGGATCTTACTTTAAGGTTCACAAATTCATGCCGGCGTTGTCATGTTCCAGAAGGGTTTTGCAGGGTTTCTTCCGAGTGTTGAAGAGTTTCAGATGTGATTGAATAGCTCCTTTTTAGATACGGGTTTTGGTATCTCTCTAGAGGATTTACGGTAGGATTCAGAGTTCAGGGCTCATTTTGAGGTATACGATTTGACGTGTGGGACCTTGTGCGGCGACCACTCTTTATAGGCTTGAGGGTTTGATTGTATATGCACTTCACGGCGTCGCGTATGTCAAGAGCATGGACAATGCGACTTTGTGCTTGAAAGAAGAAGAGTGAGGCCACCCGAGGTAAGCCCCCATCACAGACCCAGCAAGATCGGGCATCCGGACGACAGACATACACTTTCCCGCGGTGCACTGTGCAGTAGAGAAGAAGTTGCGCAGGTCAAGGCGCAAAGCGAACCCCAGGATTGCCGCCACAGATTTGAGTCAACCTGCGTAGAGGCCTTGACATGAGGATCCCTACTCCTGTATGCCTTGTATGAAGCGAGGTATCAGGGGTCTACCTCAAACTTAGACTCTGAACGCCTCAAAACCTAGACACTAAGACTGCACGGGCCTTGAACGGTTGCTCTTATGAGCCAGCTTGATGGGGGTACCCCTACAAAGAGAGATACAAAGCTACGCTATACCGCAAACAAGACGCAACATTAAAGTCTCAGTCCTTTGGAGCATCGGTTGGGGATTAAACTTGTCCGTTGAAGTCTCTGTCCAGCTGTGTAGAGACATCCCGCTGCCATAACCCAGCAGTCCAGAGCATGTTGGGCTTTGTAGACTTACAGTGTTCACCAACACCCGAAGCTTGAAGCAACACCTACAGAGCCCGTATGGGTGTGCATAACACCCTACCTCATAGACCCCCTATACACACTACAGATTCCTGTTTCGGGTTTGGAACTGTGTGTGATTTCCTTGTGCGCTTCTGTTTGTAGCAATTATTTTGAGGTAAGCACAACATGACAGACCCATGCAGACAAACCACTGTATTCGGAATATCGAAGGCCTCAAACCCAAAGCCCTGGAAACCCAAAACCCCCCAGAGATGTGGAGTATTATAGGAATCACTATACAGAAGCGTTTATTAAGTTATGCGTATACACACGCACACACACACATACACACACACACACACACATATATATATATATATATATATATATATATATTCTTTACAGCAGCCTGTATAGAAATGCCTAAACCAACATCGTATCCCTTCTGTTTCGCTTATAAGATTGTAGTACTTCTTATGAACACCCTTAATGTTACTCTAGCAGCCCGTATTGAAACCTTCATGTAACCCACAAAACCCCAGCTTGCCTGAGTTCCCGGAACCTTCCGGGTTGGCTTCTAAATGACCTTCCTTTAAAGTAGCAGCAACACATTCTGGAATTTGGGTTGTGGGTCTTCGGGCTTAGCAGAGCTGCATAGGACAGCCCTAAATCCTAGACCGTCCCCAGCAATCCTGAAGACCTATACCATAAGCTCCGCATATCTGCAAACCCCTTTGGCCCACGAAACCCCGGATAAACCCACAACACCTGAGCCACCCTTATACTGTTCTTGTGACAATGTGAGTGAACCTACCGACTGATACGTCGTCAAGCTGTACACCCTGGACCCTTCAACCCCGAAGACTATGGTAACAGTATTCCTTGGCGTTCCTATTATGCCTTTTCGGTGTAGTATAATACCGGAAGCCCATTCAACTTGTTAGGGCCCCAAAATACCCTCACTGTGATAGAGCCCTTGTACGGCTGGGAGCTGCGACCAGGTCTACGATGTTGAGCGAATGCGCGTGATCTCAGGAAACCCCGAGGCTATAGAGGGTTTCGGGGGTCGGGGTTTCAGGGGTCTTAGGGTTCTTGGTGCTCTGCGCTTCAGTGGTGTTGGCCTTGTAGAGATTTTCGGGTTCAATGTTTGCGGTTCAGTGGCTACTGGTCTTTGGGTTTTTGGATTTGAGGGTTGAGCTTTTAGGTTTGCGAAATATTCATCTTAGGATGTCGGCGTTGAGATCCTAGAAGTTTAACATCCCTGGACCGCAAGATTCACAGACTCGGCACCAACAACCTGAGACCAAGACCACGAGCTTCCGGCCTTGCCCCAGTGACAGGCAGCAGCAGCAGCAGCAGCAGCAGCTTTGGGGTTTTGTAGTCTTGGATCAGGGTTTGGAGTGGCTTAGTTTTGGCATACAGGGTCTAGGTTCGGGTACTACATTCGGGTACTACATGTATGCCGCAATGACTTCTGGGCCCAGGCTTCCAACATGTGGAGATTGAGGCCTTCTTGAGGTTGATGGACATAGTAGAGACTACCCAAGCCCAAAACCCAAACACCAAGACCCAAAACCTAAGCATTCAAGCCAAAGCCCAAAAATCCAAACTCGGACCTCCACCCAATATCCTGAGCCTCTATGACTTCCAGGCCACGTCGCTCCGTGCACTGAAGCTGCGACTGAGGCGGGAAGACTCTGCTCGGCGTTTAGGACTTAAGGTTTAGGGTTTAGGGTTCCAGGTGTAAGGTTTGGGTTTTGTCGGGTTCGCTACCTTGCTGGGATCCTCGTTTTTTTGTTTGCATGCCTTCGTTTGTCGCAATAAGGATCGCGATGTCTCTCAAAATCGGAGCGCATTTGGTAGTTTCCTGAGAATGAGCATCTCATTATGTAGGGCCTGTATCAGGGCCTCTTGTTTTCCGAAACTCCTGTCATTATGCATCCCAGGGGTCTATACTTATAGCTTAGACGTTCTTAGCAACCATCCAAATTTGTCGCAGGGTCCCAGATTCCCGGCAATTTGTGGGATAGGGTTTGTGCAAAGACCGTACAGGTGGATTAGCAGTTTAGGTAGGGAGGTTCCAAGGCGGCAGGTTATATTAAAGTTTTTCTGATTCAGGCTTCACTGTTTAATGCAGGGTCTGTTTCTATGGCATTCCCGAACGCTAACTTTGTTGGGCTCATGGGTTGCAGGTCTTACGGTTCAAGACGCTGTTCGGCTGAGCACAGAAAATTCTGTGTGAGGTGTCGTTGCACTGCATGTCAGCCCATGCTTCCATCCACCGCCTGACTGCGGCAGCAGTATTCCTGGTTGTTTGTTTGGAGTCGCTCCTTTGGTTAAATTTCAGCGTGTCGAGCGGCAAGCAAATTCCTCTCAACGTTCTGCGAGAGCGAACTGGACGAAGCGTAACGTTAAACACTGACCACATGTACAGGCACCAGGACAACATGACGTCCAACGAGAAACGACTAACGAGTTCTCTCGCTCTGGCTGGGCGAAATGGGGACTGGTCACAAGTTTCACGGCTCTGGGGCAAGTACATGGGAACTTCGATAGTGGTTCACCACGCAGCGATGCAAGCGGCATTCCATTGCGCACGGTATGAAGATGCCGCACGCATCCATGACAAAGCGCGAAGCTTGCCAGGCTTCACGCCTAATCCTGTCGTTTCTCACCGAGGCATGAAAATATTTGGAAAACTGGGCCGCCGAGCAGAAGTTGCAGCAATTTGGTTCGAAGCTGTTGAAAACAACTTGACTGATCCCTTGGTTGCCGGCGCGCGCATCGATGCTGCTGCAAGCATGGGAGACATAGCAGGTGCGGCAGAGGGTCTTGACTACATGGTTGATCATGGCCTAGAACCGGATGTACCTGCTTTCACTTCGGCCATCAGTGCCTGCGGCATGTCTGACCCGCCAAGCCCGTCAGCTGCCATGTACGTGTACGAGCTAATGCTGGAAAGGGATCTGCAGCCGACGGTGGTCACATTTACGAGTCTTGTCAGGGCGCATGAAAGGGCCAACTCTTCCAAAATCGGAGACCTACTGTCCGAGATGAAGAGGAGAGGAATTGAGCCTGACAAAGTGTTCGCTGAATCCTTTGTGTCTGCTATCTTTGGCGGAGAAAAGCTTCGGAAACTGAGCAATCAGAACATCATCGTTCGTATAGCAGCAATGAGTACTCGGCGCCAGCAGCTTCTGCAACAAACTCTTCAAGATTTCAGGAGCAGCATGACATTCACCGGACTCTGCCAGCGGGTCTGGAGATTGTCGGGCATGCACAAGAGCTGACATGGCCACAGAGCATCACGCTCCGTCTTGCTGCTCTCTTCTCTTGGATCATCCATGGACGCATGCCGCACGCTGCAAGCAGTCTTGACAGACGCTGACTTTTGCTCCGGCGAGCTTGCGAAAATGGAAAAGCAGATGGTCGAAGTTACATCCGACAGTGCATAAGAATAGGACCAATCGCATCTGCACTGGCTATAGTAACCCCGGTTGAGGGCTCCGATTGAGTGTACGTATGTGTAGCTGCAAACAAGCTTGTCGTAAGGTCCTACATTGCCATATCGTCTGGACCTTTTCTGAAAGGTTTCATTTTGGCTGGAGTGGCCGACGCCCGTGCATGAAGCAGACGATACAGCCCCTCGGCCCTGGGAAGTCAGCCGACAAGGTTCTATACCTTGCAGCCCCACTGCAGCAGAAGCTCTAGAAAACTGCAAATTCAATTCGAGCTTTGTTCGTCAACCTCAAACCAAACGTGGTTCCACATGGGCTCTCGAAAACCCTTGAAGGAAGCCACCCGGACTGCCAAGTCAAGCCGCCCAAACCCTGCCAACCCTGCCATACACGGAATGTGCAGAAACAAGTTACGGAGTTGAACGACCTCGCAAGTAGAAGCAACCGCATGAAACCTTACAGGCACAATGAGCAATGATCAGTTTGCAAATTTGTACATGAAAGTCGCACTTCCACCCGAACGGCCGCAGGAAGCAGTTCAGCACACAACGTAGAGCACCATCCGCAACTCAACACTTTTCAGGCAAAGAGGTAGCAATACGAGCAAATTGGACTCACTTTCACCGTGTTACTAAACTTCGGCCCTGGAGATGCAGCCCTGCACCATCAACTCTCAATCTGAAACTCCAGGTGATCGTTGGATGTGTTCTCTAGTCCTTCAAGTCAAACCTCTGAGGGCACCACAAGCGTGACTTTGGCGACCTCGTACAAGCTGTACAGGGTTTTCGACCAAGGCAGAGGGAAACCGGAACCGGTAAGCCCTAAACCCCAAAGCTCTGCGACACTCAACCATCTGCAGAGCGCTACAGGTGTTTGGGAGTCATGTAAGATTTCACAGACTTCAACTTAAAGACCCCTTATCGATTTCGAGAAATTTCCAGGAACCCGTCAAGCCTGAATAGCCCCGAAGTTGAGTTCCATCCAGAATTGAAGCCGATGAAACGTTGCAACACCTTTTTGATTTTTAGGGTTCAGGACAAATCCTGATTTCAACCATGGCTGTGCCTTTTGAAACGCAAGCAGTTTTCAGGCCTGGCCGCGAGGTCGCCAGTGAGCTTGGCGCCGATGCCACGGCGCTGGCCTCGCGGCTCCGGGAGGCCTTCCTCTTGAGGGGCTAGGGATTAGGGTGTGTGCGGTTGGCATTGGGATCAGGTACGGATTCGATGAGGGGAGTTAAGGATTGGGGCTGGTTAGGATAGGCATTACTATGCGGGTTCTGCAGTGGTCCTAAGGGCTTGGGGATTACGCCAACACGAGGCTTTAGGCGTTTAGGGTTTGGGGCATTGGTGTTTAGGCTATTGGGAGGTTTAGGGCCCAGGGCTTCGAGGTTGAGCGAGGGATTACGGTTCAGCAGGGCGACTACTTTGTTTTGGTACTTTAAAGTTTTGGGGTCAGGGTTTGGGGTGTATTGCTTCATAAGGTTTCATTTCTCGATGAAATGGGTTTTGGCACGATCTACTGACCCGGAAAAATGACCCTGCTGCCCAACCAAGATTGAAGAAGTGGTTCTGCTTGCTTGAGTGATTATAATCCCTCAAAAGGGGGATTTATGGCTGCAGAGTCTTCCCAAAGCATAAACAGGCAACCCCCGCAGCAGGGTTTCACAGGTCAACATTAGTTTCTTTCTTCTCATCCGTTCTCCGGCCGTTTTAAAAGCTCACTACAATACCCCCTAAACTTTCAGCCAGGTAGCTTGCCGACCCTAAGCCTTGTGCCCTAGACCCTGAACCCTCACCGAACCGTATGACCATTTTTTAAGTCTCCTGATCCCTTGAGCACGAGACCTAAACCTTTCAAAACCGACAACAGATCCTCGTAAATCCTTTGCCATGTATTTGTCGCGCCATTGGAGAACCTGTCTTATAGAATCCTAGACCCAAAGAAGCTTTTGGGCAACTCTGGGTCGGGTTTCAAAGCTTCGGGCAATGGCATCAAACTGAATTAGGCGCCCTCAGCCTTTTAAAGCCATAGGCGCCCTCAACCTTCTGAAGCCCCCGTGGATGTCTACCAGAGACTTAGACTGCAGACACTGCTCAGCCGTGAGCCCTAAACTGCGAGGCCGCAAGCCCACGAACCCGAAACCCAAACCCTCGAGACTTGAACGTTGGGCTCCCTCGCCTTAATGCGTCGACACCCTACAAACCCTAACCCTAAACCCCAACCCATGAAAACCGTTCTGCAAACACCAAAACCTAAACTTTCAACCTTCAACCCCGAAGCCTTGAATCTCAAACCCTAAACCCTAAAAACCCAAGCCCGCTCTTGCGCAGATGCTCGCGTCACACCTTGCGGCCCTGCAGCGATATGCAGCTGGGAACTCAAGACTCTTCGGAACGATGTAGCTAATGTAAGGGCCTGTCTAGTTAGAATAGGATTTTGGGCTCCTTCATAGTAGACCGACAGTACTTGTTGAGGCTTCTGCAGTAGGTCTACTCGGGCTTGGTTTTCTCAAGCACTGCCCCGATGCCTGAACCCACATTCTCATAGCTCACTATAGAAATAGGGTCTACTGCATGAAGTGTTGGGGTTAGTGTGCAAGGGGGTCCTTGGCGATATTCTTGAGTGTATTTATGGTTTGGCTATGGGGATGTACAAATACTCCAACTAAGAATATGTAGTATATATCAGTGAGGTGCCCTAACTTGAGTTGCAAGCAACAACCGGTTATAAGTAGACATATCGTGAGCTACCTTAGTCTCACATAGGCTTAGTCCCTGAATTCGTTAGGTACACTTCAAGCGCATGTAAGCCCCTCGAAAACCTTCCAACGCCCTACAGCGTTTCGGCCTCGTAAGATACTTACTGTTGTTCCGTGCCAGACCATCTACGCCTATGCACCCATGTGCTAGACTCCTTGACCCTCAGGTCGTAGACGCGAAGCCTCGCCCTAAACCCTAAGCCGACGACCCTAGACCCGAAGTGCGGAAACGTGGATTCTTCCTCAACTTCAACCACCCCCCCCGCCAACCCCTAGGATGTTCAGTGGCAGAGATGTTATGGTAACAATAATGACGGCATAATTTTGCTTTGGGCGCTTATTATTCACTAGTCTGTTTATGTTACATGCACCTGGTGCCCTCAAGGGCTGAGGAGTTATTGACTTATGGACCAACCAAGGAAGTCAGCGATCCATCCCCTCGGCCGCATAGATTAGAGCGCAGAAAAGAAGGAAAGATGCGCGGTGGCCCAGCAGGGCTCGACGAGCTGAATGATGAGAGTGGTTTCATGCGACTGAACATTGGCAGGCAGTCGACGACCATTAGTGAGGTGAATGCGGCTGTTGCACGTTACAGCCGGCCTCCGGTTATTTTCCGGAATGGTTACACCGAGACAATGGAACAAATCCAGGAAATCCCAAGTGACAAGGTTGAAGGCCCGATCGAGGCCTGACTCCAAGTGAAATCCCTAAACCCGAAACCCTAAACCTGCGGAAACCCAAAGCCCCTCGACCCTAAACCCCTAAACCCCCGTGCAAAACCCTAAACCCCAAACCTGCAGAAACCCAAAGCCACTAGACCCTAAACCCCTCAACCTGCAAAAATCCAAAGCCCCTGGACCCTAAACCCCTAAACCCTATAAACCCTAAACCTGCAGAAGACCAGAGGCCCCTAGACCCTAAACCCTTAAACCCCAGGTAAACTTGTAGAAACCTGAGAGTCTCCGCAAAAAGAGAACCCAGACAGCTTGGGGTCGAGGCCGAATGCGCTGCTACTGGCTTCCTGGCCGCAGATTGGGCGCAGTTTTTTGCTACTTCTTAAAAGGGTGTCGTTGGTGGCGGCTTACAGGGTGTCCAGGGTACGCGAATGACTTAGATTGGGTTTCGGGGAGTGGGTTTAGGGTTCGGTGGTTTTGAACCCTGAACCCTGCAGGCCTGAACACGGAACCTTGTTGCCATCATACACCCTCACACAGCCTTTCTGAAGCCTAATTACACAACAGCCACATAAAGCCTTCACAGCTTAACCTACAGCCCCCCATGCAACCCCATGTTGTTTTCATAATTTTCCTGATACAAAACACTGAAAGAACCTTCATGACACCAATCAAAATTACAAAACTCCAGCCATCAAGTCCTTAAACAACCTACAGCCTCAAACCCTAGACCCTAAACAGTAAGAGCCTTAAGACCCTAAACCCTAAAACCCCACAAACCTAAGATGTCCAAAGCATCCCTGGAGTTCCCCCGAAGTGCTCAGGAGAAAGCCAGGCACCTGCGGCGAAGCCTCCGGTCGGGGCCTTGGCCGCTTTTTCAGGGCCGAGGCTTTGAGCTTAGGGGTCTTAGGGCTCTAGGGTTTAGGGCTCTAAGGTTTAAGGGTTTAGGGTTTAGGGGTTTGGGGCTCTAGTGGTTTCGGATTCTAGGGGTTTACATATAGGGTTCCTTTAAAGGCCTAAGGGTCCCTATGATCTAGTGGTTTCGGATTCTATAAGGGTTTACATATAGGGTTCCTTTAAAGGGATCTATAAGGGTTCCTACAGGTGTTTTCTAGGGCTCTAGTCTTAGGACTCTTGGGGCGGTAAGGGGATTGTAGTCCCCTACCCCTTCCCCGTTCCTTTGAGGGGATCTATAAGGGTTCCTTCAAGGGTTCCTGTAAGGGATCCAGAGGGTTTTTCGGGTTTTAGGCTTTCATGTCAGGGTTCTTGAAGGCTTGTTTGTTTTTGAAGGGCTCTGTTGTGGTTTGGGGTTTCGGCTTCAGGGTTTTTTGGGCCAGGGCCTGCGCTGGACCCGATCACGGCCCAGCATGTGCTACACTTATGCAACACCCCGTACCCAAAGCTTTCACGGTGGCCCCAACACCCTGCACCCTCCACCCCTTGAGTAACCATAAACCCCAAACCCTTTCATCCCTGAGCCCCGCGCCGTACACTCGAAGTTCAACCCCAGCACGCCCCTTTACATCTGCAGCCCCAATCCTTAGAATCCTGCGCTGAAACTTGAAACCCCAAAGCTTAAATTCTATACCCTAGATTACCCTAAACCCTAAGCCTATAAAACCCTAAGCCCCAAAGTCCTAAACCCTAAACCCAACTATGGAACCCTCAAGACCCCCACTTAAGACTCCCGACAGACAGGCCGGCCCCCTTGGGTCGACGTTCCTGTGAGGACGGGGCGGTCTCCCAAGTCTCACCCAGTAGCTTAGCTGAGGATTTTCAAAGGGGGTTGAGGGTTTCGGGGCCAGGGTCTGGTAGGGGGACCCTAACACTAAACCCCCTGAACCCTCAACCCCTAAACCCCTAAACCCTAAAGCTTAGATCCTAGGTATTCTTAGAATTTAGGTTCCGGTTTTCGGAGTCTTTGCGGCTGGGGTCTTCCGGTAAGCTGAAGCAGAGCAGGGCGACATGAGGCTTACATTATCTTCTCTTACCCTAACTCATACTGCATCATGATATGTAATATTCTATTCTTGGATATTCTGTCATTTTTATCGCCGATTCCTATCAGTCGTTGGCGGGTTTCAGGATTTCAGTACTATAGAAAGGCTCAGGGCGCTTGTCTGATAGGTCTGAACCCTAAAGCCTAAACCCTGTAGAACCCTAAAATCCACACCTAAACCCTAAACGCCAAACCCTAACTCCTAGATCCGAAACCCTGTCAACTACAACCCACGCCTAAACCCCTAAACCCCAAAGTGGCTGAAGGGTCTAGGGCTTTCGGGGTTTCAGTTCGGGGGTCGTGGGTGGAGTCAGGCCTTGGATAGCTCCACTCTTCAGGTTGCTTTACCCTAAAACCCTATAGATCCCTTGAAGGAACCCCCCTAAAATTACACTTATAGATCCCCTTAACGGAACTCCAGGATTCATAGGGGAGTTTCCGGAAAGAGGCGACCCTCATTAGTATAGTACCCTAAATAGTAGGATCCTCATTATAAGGAGCCCAACATAGGGTACCCCTAATGTTCGGAAACTCATATATGCTCGAGATCATGACTGGTATGAAAACCTTAGGGTTCATTCAGTTCCCCACAAACTGCAAGAACCCCAAACCATAGTCGACATAGCCAGGCTTCTATACTAGCCGGACGCAAACAATGTAAAGCCTGATTCTTGCAGCCGCAGCAAACAAGTCTTACTGGCTATGGCCTTAAGCCGTAAACCTAAACCCTAAACCTTAAACAGTCCAAACAAGCCCAGACTCGTCGCAGTGGTGCCGGGTAGAAGCTCCATCATGGCAGGGGCGGCCCGGCGACTCAATGCTCTCCTGTGGATTTTGGCTGCTCTGGAAGTCCTGGCCGCTGCTGAGCCGGCAGATTCGGAGCTGGAAGCCAAGGGCCGGCAACTTGCGGTCGTGAGGGTGAAAACCTGCCCTACGGCCCGACGCGGCGACTGTGGCGGAAGGATGTGGATCTGCCTTCCTTGCTTGATCCTCACTGCGCTGCTAACTACTGCTCAGTCAGCCACACGCCGAAAGACATCCTGGGGTTGGCGCCCCGACCCCATTTCCGACGTGAGTTTTTGGAACAGCCCACCCTGTGGGTGGGCGACGCACCGGCCGATCCCCCCGCTTTGAGCCCGCACATTGAGGTGATGGTCGACTTCCTCATGACGCCTGTGATTGCCGCCGTTTCTTCGAACTTGCGCAATGGAGGATTTCCGGCCCTTTTGAACTACATGGAAGTGAACGCCGACGACTTGCCGCCATCCTTCTCGATCATCTTGCGCAACATTGCAGGAACTACATCCACTCTTCCCATTGCTTACAACGGTAAAGTGGATGTGTATGATTCGAAGAGGCATCCACCGCCAGCTGCGTACACTGACTTTGGTCATGGAGTTGGGTCATGTTGGGTCATGCTTGCGCTTCTTTTTCGTTGAGGTTCATCCATCTCCTCTTCCCTATTTGCCTGGTGAGGCCTTTCCACCTTTGCTCTGCTACGGTCTCGTGTCCGTATGCCCGACCTGTTCCGGCAACGCACCAACCCGAGCTGATGTCTTGGCCCTCGCCAATGCCATTTCTCGAGAGTCATTGGATTTGTCAAGCATCCAGGTCAACGTCTATTTGAAGCGCTACGATCCGGCCACTGTCTGGTATGTGGCACCACGCGGTCCAGCACCCTCTCCGTTTGCCACGATTAGGACCGCGATCGGAGGCTTCCGCTGGCTGGACGATCTCTCGTGTTCGAACGTTTCGGAAGTGAACGAAGATTCGCTCATCTCAGATGAGAGGGTGCCCATCGCCACAGTCAATCCCAGCCATTGCGCGAGACTGAGCTGTGGTACATGTTCAACCAGTACGGGCTTGAAGCCATCAACACTGACCCGGCCAACCTCTCGATCTCGGATGCCTCTTCTGCTTCCTCGTCCCACGACAACTACACGGGAGATGAACACTCCCTTGATGGACCGAGAGGGAGTCAACAGAAGACGGTTGAAGACCCCTACCAGGCGACGCAGAACGCCATCTCGGTCTGCTCGCTCTGCAAGGGAACCTCTGGCAAACGGAACGGGTGGACTTGTCGGCGATGGCCAAGAACAAGCACCGTGGAGGGGACCGACACTGCCGGACATCCCCTCAACAGAAGCCTATGCCTAAGAAGCCTCTTCCTCGACCTGGGCGACCTGCACCTCCGGATGTTCCTGCAGGCCCGGCTCCTACGACTTCCGCGGCGTCTACGGGATCTCCTGCTGCAGGCGAAGAGGCCCTAACGATTGACGAGGCTGTTGACACTTGGCTCCTGCTCTTGGGGATCAGGGACATCGATGAACCGATTGGGGATGAATTCCTCCCAGAACGAGTCCGTCATGCTGTGGTGGAACAGTTTCTCGAATATGGCCTCGTGATCGGCTTACCTACACGATGGCCTTCAACCGGGTTGTCCATGGAATGCTCTCGGCTGTCGGCCGGTTGCTTGAGCAATCAGTGGAGATGGCCATCCCAGGCCCGAGGACACCAAGAAGACCGCCGCCTGACAATGGGGATGTGAGGAATGAGGGACATGGAGACGGCTCGCTTCTGATGCAGACTTCGCTGCACGCCCACACCTCGGTGAGTGCTTCCTCGTGCCGTGTGAGTGACGCCGTTGCCAGGTTTCAGGAGAGTTTGGAGGTGCTTCCCAAGCGCCGTCGAGCAGCACAGGTGGAGGCTCTCCTTTCCTGGCTCGACCACCGTTGCACTCGGGCGAGGGCTGGCTACTTTCTGGGGCATGTTCAGGGTGTTTTCGCGGAACTCCTTGCTGTGTTGGTGGCCTACCGCGACTTCAACCTGGCGGCACTGGAGGTCCGGGATGATGCTTGGCGCCAGCGATGGGTCGAAGTCTTTGCAGGGTACATGCCGGTGGCTGAGAGCTCCCTGGCAGCGGAAAATCGGCCGCCGCATCATGCTGTTCCCTCACCTGCTCCCTGACTCCAGTGACGGTATCCCTTCGCCTATCGACTTGGACCCCACACCTCCTAACATTGACCGGCTTGCGGAGGATGAGAGAGAAGGCCTGGTGGCCTCTGCAATGGACAGGGCTAGACTGGAACAGGAAACGGCTGAGAGGGATGCTGAAGCACGGCGCCTGGATGACTACCTGGTCAGCATGGCCAACTCTCCGGCTGCCCCGACTTCTCCGGCCTCGCTGCCCAAACGCCGTCGTGTCTTGGTTGTCGAGATGTCATCTGGGAGTGGTGATGCACCCCGCATGTCGAGATGCTTGAGAATGCCGTTGAATGCTAGTGGTGTGGCCAACTTCCACTACGGTTGCTGGCGTGACGACCGTTGGTGGAGCCACCGCCAGCTCCCACTCAGGTTTTGACGTGGCCGCTGAGGGATCACAGACGTGTGCTGCTGGGGTGATGCTTGAGGGGCCTGACCATGCAAGGCAGTTTCCCTGAACTTTGAGCAGTACCAGATAGTGTATTCTCAGTGGGTGGCGGGCCAGCTCAGCTCCGAGGATGTCTTGGCGAAGTACGGGAGGGCTGTCCTTGATTTGGTCCAGAGCCAGTGGGCGTTCTCGGCAGATGACACGCTGGTGACGTCAGAACGGATCACGGCTTTGTCGTCTGCAAATACGGCTGGACCCGGCGTACCAGCTGTGGAGTTGGACTCGCAGGAGGACGTGGTGGCCCAAATGGCGGTGGTTCCGGAGGCTGCAGCTCCTTCGTGGCCGCCCTTACGGCGTCCTGTGACTGAGTCGGACTGGGAGGCATTGTCGGCCAACTATCGGGCTGGGGTCTTCACGGGCACGGCTGTGCGGGAGCATCTAGGGCAAGCTGTCTACGATGAGCTGGTCCGGCGCTGGTACATCTACATGGACGGGGCTGCGGCGTATGCGGATGCGCAGCTGGCCGGGGAGATGGCAACGGACTCTTCGGGTAGGGCTTCTACGGAGTGAGTTTGCCGAGTTTGAGGGTACCGGGAGAAAGGGTTCCACTTCGGTGGGAGCGATGCCGGTGACATCTGAGAGCAGGGAGTTAGGGCTGGTGTTGTTTGCGAGCTTGCAAAGTGGGCTTGCATCTCCTGGCCTTCCTAGGCCTTCTTTGAGGCTGCGCACCGCTGCATCAGGGAAAAAGGGGTTCAAAAAAAACGATCCAAACAACCCAAACAACCCTAAACCCTAAAACCTAAACAATGGAGCCCCGAAACCCTCACTTTCTGAGCGGTGCTTCCGATCTCAGCGCAAAAAAGGATCGAGCTCTCTCCCGCGGGGGGGTTTAGGCTTTAGGTGCTCATACCAGTTTTCCGTAACGGCTCTATGGGCTCTAGGGGAGGTTTTTGTTGGGTCAGAGTTTGAGGGTTTAGTGTAGGAGAGTGTAGGCTTTGGTTTTTCGGGCTTCGTTGGGTCAAGGGCTCATTTGTGGGATTGGGCTTCCATGGGAGTTGTAAACTTATGTAAATTTACAGTTTGCCACCTGAACCCCAAGCCCAATCCGAAATTACTACCTAAGCCCTAAATCCTGGTCGGCTCTTGAAGCTTGGATCTAGCTGCTGCTTGGGGGCTGGCTTGGGGATATTGAGGGTATAAGATTCATGTCCGGCCGGGTTTGGCGGGGTTTGCCGTTGCGAAGCTTTCCATACTGAAGGGTACAGTAGACTACGTCACTGGGTAACTGAGGCCCCGGTACCCAAAAAACTGCATGACAAACCCTAAACCTTAAACCCGAGCCAAAAGCCGCAATACATCACACACCCTGAACCCCAAACCAAAAGCTGCATATCCTCGCCTAAACCCTAGACCTTGTACCCTACACACCCTCCAAAATCTTTATTCTGCAGCCTTTGGCTCCGGAGCGTCGCAGACCCCATTTAGGGTCACCAATCAACCTGAACCCGAACAAAAGCTGTAAATACACGAGCCCAATACACGAAAGCTTCAGCCCTTTACACACATTCGACCGCCTTACCCCGAACCCCCGAAGCATTCCTCTGAAGCTCCTAGGACTCAGAAGCCCGATAGAGGAGACTCATAGGTTTTTTAAAATTGGTTGAGGGTTAAGGGCCTCGGGTTTGTTTAGGGTTTAAGGTCTACTTCTATAGTAGTGAAAGTGTAGAGCTTCCAAAGCAGAGCAGTAGTCATGCTACGCCCTAACCCTCAACCCACATCCTGCAGTCAGTAGACCCCAAGACCCACAGATTCGCATCAGGCAGTGGTGAGACTTCTGTAAAGCCCTTGTAAGTCCGTCATGGAATCCTTGGACAAACCCTTAGAACCCTAGAGAGCCATTCGCCAGTTTCTTCGTGCGATGACGAAGCTGCCGAATCCACCTCTGGACTGCATTTCGCGCGTGCGTTTTGCGCCAGCAGAAGGCAGATTGTTCGCAGTCGTGCAGGTTTTACTTTTTGTTTGCCAACAACTTTGGGGTAAGATTTGAGTCTATATACGGATACGGTTTACCATCTAGTTGACCTACAAGTTTACCCCTTGTTGCAAGTCTACTCGGTTTCAAGGTTTGTGGTCAACCAGGGGTTTTAGCACTGCAGGAGGGGTGTGGGCCTTCGACGCATGCTGGTTATTATATACAAAGCATGACGAGCTATCAGTGCGACAGGAGGTCCTGCTTGCCCACACCGCCAAAATACAAATCTCGCTAAGCACCACGCCTTGAAGCCCAGAAGCCCGAGGCTCGCGACCCTGAAGAGCCCCACCCGACCCTAAACCCAAAACCCCAAAACCCAAAACCCTAAACCCTAAACCCTAAACCCTAAACCCCAAACCCCAAACCCCAAACCCCAAACCCCAAACCAAAAGCCTGAAGGCCACGCCCACGACCCTGCAGCCCGAAGCCTGCACAAATGGTATGTTGTGATGATGCCCTCTTCCTGTTGGGAGTTTCCGAAAATAGGGGACTTCAATATAGTACCCTGAATAGTAGGATCCTTATTATAAGGGCCCCAAAATAAGGTACCCCTAAATTTGTGAAAATCTCCATTTTGAGGATGTTGAGGGGACTTTTCCCAAGATGGTGGATCTTGGGAGCTGCAGGTAAGGACTCATGTAGGAGCCTGGCTTAAAATTAACCCTGGGCTTAAACAAAAATCCAAAAGTAGTAGGATTCATGACTAGGAGCCCGAATAAAGGCCCAAGGTCTCTTAATCAGGTTCCTACATAAATTAGGTTTAGGGCTTCTGTGCTTGTTGAGGGGTTCTGTATTGTCAGATGTAGAGCAGGCAACCTTCCCAGCCCATGCTGCGTTAAAAAACCGAGTAGCTGGAATCGAAGTCCAAACAAGAGGCTTCAAGCCTGACACGGTTCGTCCGAAATCCTAAATCCCTAAACCCCAAACCCCTAAACCCTAACCCCTGAAGCCCTAAACCCTAAACCCCTAACCACTAAACCATCCTAAGCCCCTAAATCCGTAAACCCCTTAATCCCTAAACCTTCAACCCCTGACCCCCTGAACCCCTAAACCGCTAAACCCCTAAACCATCCTAAACCATCCTAAACCACTAAACCATCCTTAACCCCCAAAGCCTTAACCCCTGAACCCCTGAACCTCTAAACCCCTAAACCCTTGAACCACTAACCCATCCTAAACCACTAAACCCGTAAACCCCTAAACCCTAAACCGCTAAACCATCCTAAACCACTAAACCATCCTATACCCCTAAACTCCTAAACCCTTAAATCGCTAAACCATCCTCACGCTTTGCAGGAAACTGTCAATTTCTGGCTGCGTCCTGGGACGGTGTCTGGGATTCACCGCGAAGTGACGGCGTGGGGTTTCGACTTTCGAGGCTTTGAGACTAGGGAAGTTTAGGGAGTTTGGAGCTTAGGGTTTCGAATTTAGAGGTTGTGGGTTTAAGTTTAGGGTTTACGGTTTCGAGGTTGAGGGTTGAGGGGTTTAGGGTTTGCGGTTTTGAGTTTGGAGGTTTTGGGCTCCGGTTTGGCTCCAACTTGAACCCACAGCGCCACACGCTTAAGCCGAAAAGCAAGCCGAATGCCGAAAGTCAAACTGGGCCATACACTTTTAAAGTCCGGAGTCCTTTTTAAACTCCGGAGAGCTTTTTAACTCCGGAGTCCTAAAGGTCAGGCCGCTGCTACAGCTTACTTGACTTCTGAAGTTGCAAAAGTCTAAGCCGTACCAAATGCCCTACCCCTGACCCTAAAACGCTAGCCCGAGTTTGTGCGCAATTCCAGCGCCATCAATGGCCCAAAGAAAAGGCTAATCGGGATAGGAATGGCTCCAGGCACAGAGCCCCGACCCAAAAGCTTCAGTTTTAAACCCGAAGCACCCTAGAACGCCCTCCGGCTTGGGGAGTTAGAGTTAGCATATACCATTTCCATTTTCTAACTCCTAGGCCACCCAAGATCCAAAACCATAACAACCTATGCCTCAACCCCCAACCCACCGAAAGACCTATAGGACGACCGGCCTACGTAAGCCTGCTTCCGAGGAACCGTGCGACTCTACGATGCCGGGACGCAGCGTCTCCTGGGTCCCCTGGACTGGAACTGAATATGGGAGTTTCCTTGGCCTGGTGGCCTTAACATCCCAAAGTGGATCTATAAGGGTTGCTTTAAGGATAGGGTTTAGGTCTGGCTTTATATGGGAGTTTCCGAAAATTACGGGTACCTTATTTGGGAGTCCTTATAATCAGGATCCTACTATTCAGGGTACTATATTACTATATTAGGGTCCCCCATTTTCGGAAACTCCTACATGTTTTTTTTTGGATTCCCCGGGTCCCCTTCTAGGGCTCCTTGAAGGGATCTATAATATATGGGCAGTTCCCGAAATTAGGGTCCCTTTTTAGGTCCCGAAAACCGTACGGCGCCCTTCTAAAAGGAATCCTAAGAGCGGGCTTTGGAAGTTTGGGATAAGGTTTCTGGGTTTTGTTATGAAGAATCATTGTCAGTGTCATTATTATCATGCGACTAGATGCAGATAATGAGTACTCATTCTTCACAGCTGTATATGGTTTGTAATGGTGCTTCATATCGAGGACCTCGTTATTCAGGGGTTGAAGTGAAGTGAACAAGAGTTTAGAAACTCGCGCGAGGCCAGCACAAGCAGCCGTTGCCGGTCCTCGATGCAGCTTTCTTCGAGGACACCGGCAGATTTGCCGAGACCTCACATATTCAGCACGTTTTGAGACAACCCTACTAAACACCGTTGAACCTTTCAACTGAGACCTTCCATCGGTATGCCGGAAATAAGCCTGGATGGTTGATGGAAAGTGTGAGAGGTTTACGCCGGGTTCTGTCGGACCATACCTGCCGGAAGAAGATCTGTTCGGGGCGAAATATATTGTGTACTATAGAAGGCTGAATAATGTACCAGTATCATGCCTGAGGGCTGGTGCTTCTATATACATCATAATATGCCCTTCAACTCCTTTCCTTACGGCTGCACAGACCCCACCCCATGGTAAGTAAGACTCTTCGAATGGATTCTGTAAAGGATCCTCTACACGACCTACATGGCCCGTGTAGGTCGTGTAGAGGATCCTTTCCATGGGTCTGCAAGGGTTCTATCAGGTTTAGGGCCCTAAACCCTAAACCCTAAACCCTAAACCCTAAACCGGGGCTTAGGATTCAGGGTTCATGATTTTGGGGTCAGGAGTTGAGCGTTTTCCTTTTTGCCTTTGGCGCTCCCCTTTGAAACTGAAGAGTGCGAGTTTGGTTTAAAGGAACTGCTGGAAAACGACGACTTTACTTAGTACTTCTTTTGGGCTTCATCGCCAACCAGCTAAACTTCTGTTCACGTTCGTATCGAAGAGGGGTAGAAGACTAAACCTCCTGTCCGCACACGCGAATTTAGACTCTTTATGTCACGTCCTTCTTGTATGCCGAGAGAGCCCAATACCCCTTAATTAAGGAATATAGCTTAAATCATAATATGAAGCCCTATATAATTTAAGCCATGTATTCCTTAATTAAGGGGTATTGGGCTCTCTGGGTGACTGGTCCTGAGCAGTCGTCGCACGCTTCCGATCATCCCCCGCTTCTTTTCCTCTTTTCAGAGCCTTCTGCCCTTGCAATCACCTCCCTCCAAATCCGAAAGCTTTTTCAGTCTGTATAGCGGCGTGAATCAGTAATCATATTCCGTCATCGTCCCCATATATACGTATACTAGCATACTTCAAAGGCTTATTTCAGTTGATGAAGGCTCTCCTATCACCTTAAAACCTTAAACCCCAGATCCTAAACCCTGAACCCTGAACCTTAAATCGTAAACCCTGAACCCTAGACCTTAAACCCTTAACGACCCAAAACCCTAGGCCCTTAAGCACGCAAGCGTGCGCACGAGGATTCTCTGAAATGCGTTGCCGCCGGGCTGTCGAAGAAGATCATTCTCTCTGACGCTTGGGATCCTTTAAGGGTGAGTTTGGGGTTTAGGGTTTAGGGTTCAACGGGGTGTCTAGGGTTCCGTTAAGGAGATTCCTTAAAGGGTTCTGGTAAGGGTTCCTCGAAGGTTCTATGTAACGGTTCTCAAGCGTGTAGCATGCTCGCTCAAAGGATCACGGGATTTAGCCAGTGAGTTATACATAGGAGAACTATAGTTATCATTGCTTATAGCCCCAATTGAAGTACGTAAAACCTAACGTCTTAATCTGCCTGATCCCCCAGTGGCCAGCAGTCAAAGATATCAGAGGTTGATGTCCCTTTGTTAAAGATCAGGAGACATGGTTAGTGCAAGCGGCTATAATTCAGGCAGCTATACCTCTAGCTCGTTTTAGCTGTCCCTGAACCCTAATAACCTTAAGCCCTCAAACCATAAGGGAGCATCCGGTTGCTTATCGTCTGCATAAAGAAGATTGGGGCTTGCTTCAAGGGATCAGTCCAAGAATCCTAGCGCGATTTGAGCCAGGTGGCTTCGCTCCCTCGAAGGCAATGCTACCCTAAACCCTAAACCCTAAACCCTAAACCCTAAACCCTAAACCCTAAACCCTAAACCGTGGTTTTGCAAAACCTTTTCCTATGTCTTGAGGCCTTTCTGAAACATAGTTAGCCCTAAATCTTCAACCCCAAATCCTAAGCCCTGAAAGTGCAGAAAGCCTAGCCTAAGGACTTCTGCAGCCATCGTGATACATGCATCGGGGAGCATCGCGAGGCGGGGTGGGGAGACTACTGCGCATAAAGGTTGTTATTGATGGGTGCTCACGGTTCCGGACATCCTTTATACAAAGCCGTTGAGGTTCAGAGGCATTTGGGTTCAGGGTTAACGCTTGTGTAAAGGATGTCCTTGGCCTTGCAGCCGGGTCTGCAACCCTCCCCCCACTCGGACAAGTCATCATTTGCAAGCGGTGTTGGGGTCAGGGTTTAAGGTTTGGGTCTTAGGATTAGAGTTTAGTATTTAGGAGATCAGGATTTGATAAGTACGCTGTCACGTAAGGTAAGTGTAGTATGTCGGTTTACTACGACATGTACAACCTCGTGCATGCCACCCGCTATGTACTTCAACAAAAGTCTTCTCTCACTTTTGCAAAACGACAGAACACTCACTATGCAGACTTGGTCCGGGTTTTTTAAGTTTATGGCTGAGGGTGTGGCGGTTTAGGGTTTAGGGTTTAGGGTTTAGGGTTTTGGGGTGTCAATTAGCGAGAGGAAGTCGGCAGAGGTTTCACAGCGGCTTCCAGTCTTGAGTCTTTGAACTTCAAGAACTGTTAGCATCAAACCATAAGCCCTAGACCCCTAAACCCCTAAACCCTAAACCCCCAAACCCCTAAATCCCTACACCCCTAAACCCCGAAACCCCTAAGCCCCTAAACCCCTAAACCCCTAAACCCATGACTCCCAAATTTATTGAAGAGAGACCTTGGGCTCTCGGTGTATCCTGAACCCCGCTGACAAGCCTCAGCCCGACACCGGGCACCGGGTTAAACAGCCCTCCGTCAGGCCGTGAAGTGCCTGGAGTACGACAGCGAGTCCCTGGGCTGAGAGTTGGGGGTTTAGGGGTTTGGGGTTTAGGGTTTAGGGATTCAGGGGTTTAGGGTTTAGGGATTTAGGGGTTTAGGGGTTTAGGGGTTAGGGCTGAGAGTTTGGGGTGCAGTATATGCCAGGAGTTCTTTTCAAAGTAAGCGTTCCTCATCTTAAGCGCTCCGCGTCGTCCTCGGCTGTACTTTAAGCAGGTGCATTGATTCGGAAAGCAACACTTAGGTCACGCAGATGAGGTCTTGAGTGAAACCGCGCAAGTGCTGTAGAATGCTTTGAAACTAATGTCAGTATTTGTTTTCATGCTGGGACTCTGAGCAATAAATATTCCCACGCGAAGGGTGGCACATTCCCTGCATTATCTCATAGACGTTACTGTAAACATCGTATAGCACTTCTCGCTACAACCTCCCATATCACCAACGTACAAGACACCAGCCTCAGTTTCCCGCAGCAAAATCTAAGGACGTATAGGGTTTGCCAGCCCGAAATCGAATTTTAATTGTGGGAACCTCTGACCGCTTTGGCCGGGGCCGAGGCGAGTAAATATTTGTGTACAAAGATCCTCCTATTCAGGGTCACTCGATGAACGGGGGGGGGCAGCAGGGCGCCTTCAATTGTGGTGTTTTGTGTTCTTTGAAGAACTCGTTACATCCTCAACCCGCTTTCACGCGCGCTTCGCAAACTCCAAATGGAATTTCCTCACCATCCTTTATACATGTATAATCAAAGCCTGAAGATTTCGACCACTAACTGGCGGTAATATCTCCTGAGAGTCCCGAAATATCTCCACTACAACTTGCCCTTCTAATCACCAATGAAAAAATATTTTGGACAGCTCCTAAACGCTAAACGTAACTTAGGGGTACTTAGAAACATTTTTCAATTTTTGGTTATTATAAGCCCTAAGAAACAGCTAAAATTATAACTTTTGCTAGGGTTCTAAGTTCAGTATACTTAAATCCTATGCCTAAAGCCTCAGCCTGCACCCTGTGCCCTCCATGCCTGAGCCAGGCACCGCCAAATTCTCTCTGCGTCCTGGGACAAGATGCTCTGCGCATGGGATTCTCGCCACCGGGCAGGGATTCAGACTTGAAGTCCTAGACAATACCTTAACCCCAAAGAACCTACCGTTTTTAAGGACTTCAAAAAGGAAGTCGGAATAAGGAACCCGAAAAAGGGAAGCTTCTTCAGGGTCCAGGTAAACCCTAAATCCTGAATCCTCAATTCTCACGCTTAAACCCATAACCTTAAAAGGTAGTAAAGGGGTCTTTATGATTCGTAATCTGTAACTTGAAGGACTAGGCTCCCCCGTGTTTTGAAAACGCCTTCTCAGCCCTTGAAGATTCTGGGTATCATTCGCATTTTTTGGGAACTTTAGATTAAGAGTCCCCGACGCCTACAGGGCTTGATAAGAGTCTGGCTGAAAGGCTGTGGCGAAGGAATGAGATGTGCCTTCTTTCCCCTTTTGTCCTTTCGCTCGCGAGATCTTCATTTTTCTTCCACCAAGCCCGAAGCCCTGACCCCAAAACCCTGAACCTTGAACTCGAAGCGCTTCCCTTCTGCTGCTTCTTTCTCGGGACTCAGCACGCGAAGTGATGCTCCAGCTAGCTGTTCAGTGCATTAGGGCTTCGGAGTTGAGGGTTCGTGAGTTCAGGGTTTCGGGGATCTGCTTGGGACTCCAACAAGTATTTACAAAGCGCTTCAGCTTTTTCTGTGATAGCTCGTTCTCATCTGACAGCCAAGACCCCGTCGGCGAGTTGACAATAGAGCCTTCAACGAATTCTTTAAGCCCCCCAGAGAACACCAATTAGGATAACCCTCTAATGACAGCTTGTAAACGCCGTAAGAGCTCGTAAGGCCTTTTTGACCTTTTACGAACCCCGTAGTAAAGAATCTTTTAAAGAGCCCTATAAAGATAAGCAGTCCATAGAGTCCATACATCCCTACATCAACTACTTACAACGCGATAAAGAGCCCTCTGCCAGCTCGTTACGATTTGTTCGGTACCGAGGCCGACCGGGTGAAGCAAGCGCCAGCGCGAAACTCGGGGCGAAGGCTTTCAGCATGGAGACTCGGACGAAGCCGCTTCGGTTCTTGGGCGTCCTGGGGTGTTATGGCTGGCTTTATGCCATTCAACACTATGCCAGCACTAAGGGGTCGGGTTCTTGCGTGCAGAGTAGAGAACTGATCGAGGTGGTCAGGCGAACAACTGCTCCCTGCGTCTTGTTTTTGTTGGCACATGCTGCAAATCGGTTCCGTGCATCCTATTTATCCTACTATCGTGCTTGTCTCCCATCGTGGTACGGTGCCTGCTTTTCGCTGACATCCTATTCGTCGTAGAGGATTCGTGCCCTGCGGCCCGGAGAGCCCGATCCATTACAGATTATACGTTTGGGCCTGCTTCTTGCTCTCGAAAACGGGATCGCGGTAGTGCCGGGGGGAAGCGATTCGGATGTTCCTCTGGGTCCTGCAAACTAAGGGAGAGTAGCATAAGTCATAAGTCGGCTGCTTCCGAAACGCCCAGCACTGGGGGCAAAGCAGTTTCGCGCTGGTTCTCGAGCCGGCAGTGCTTGGAGGGTTTAGGGTTTAGGGTTTAGGGTCTCGTAGGTGTCTGAAGCTCGCCAGTACTTGTGGGAAGGCACCGGGGGCGTGTTGTTGCCCGCTTACCTAAGTGGGGAAAGCCGAAGTCTTGATGCTGTCCAGCTGGTCAGTTGGGGGTTTTCTTCCTGCTGGTCTTCTGGTGGTCTCTTGGTCTCCTGATGGTATTATCCAGATGGCTTCCTAGCGGTCTTTTGGTGGTCTCCTGCTGCTCTCTTGCCGCTCTCTTGGCATTTCTCCTTGTCCTGGTGGTCACTTTCTGGTCTCCTGCTTGTCCCTTGCTAGTCTCCTGGTGGTCGCCCTGTCCTGGTCCTGGTCGTCCTGCTCGCAGTGCTCGTCGTGGGTGGTAATTCTGGACATACGCAGGTGGCAACTGGTTGCGACCTGTGTAATTCCCATGTGACAGTGGTCGGGACTTTCTGATCCTGATAGCATGCTTCTAGTGTGGTCCTTCACTGTCTGGAAATCTCCGCTAGGGGATATATATATATATATATATATATATGTATATATATATATATATATGTATGTATGTACTGTGTATATATATACATATTGGTTTACAGGTTGTTTTTTGGGTTATACAGGGTTTTATAGAGGTGAGTATCACGGCTACTGTAGTAGGGTTACCAGTGGTGCTTTCAGTGTGTGCGGTGACTTAGGAGGATTCGTATGGATTTTAAGCTCTGACGTGACGATTGCCATAACCTTAAACCCTAAACCCTAAACCGTCATTTTGTTCTCTTTGTGGCTGTTTCTGCCTCGGTGCCTTGACTGAGAATTTGATCTGTAGAGGGCTTCTGAAAAGCTTTGTAGAGTTGATAGAGTCGACGGCTGAGAGCGCAGCGCGTTCGCTTCAGGGTTTAGGTTGGCAGGTGATTAAAGGCTAGGGTATTGGATCTGGGGCTGAGGTAGGGCTTACGAGTTTTGGGTCTTTCGTAGCGGGTGGGAGTTTAGGTGTGCCTGAGGACGCCAAAGGCAACAAAGTCATTGTCGGCGCGTCCGATCGATGTCTCCACGCGGGGAGCTTAGTGACAATGGCTAGTATTTCCCCGGGTGTGCGTTTGGGGCCGTTTGGTGTCCCGCCTTCGGCTAGTTAGCAAGGCAAGCACACTGCTAATCAAGTCTTGAAGCTCCGCCAGATGGGAGTTTCCGAAAATAGGGGACCCTAATATAGCACCCTAAATAGTAGGATCCTTATCCCTAGTATAGTACCCTAAATAGTAGGATCCTTATTAAAAGGAGCCCAATGTACCCCCGAATTTTCGGAAACTCCGCCAGATTGCGACTTGGGGTCGCTCACTTCCCCGGTCAGATCTTCTAGCTCGATCGTAGACGCTGAAGGGGATGCCAATCAAAAAAAAACTTTTTTCAATCAAAAAAAAACTTTTGTTTCAATCAATTTTTTTTCCAATCAAAAAAACTTTCCCTTATTAAAGGAAGCACGACAGGAAGGAAGGAAGGAAGGAGGGAAGGCAGGAAGAAAGGCAGCAAGGAAGGATGGCAGGAGGGAAGGCAGGAAGGAAGGAAGGAAGGAAGGCGGGGAGAAAGGGCGAGGAAGGAAGGAAGGAAGGAAGGCAGGAAGCAAGGAAGGAAGCAAGGCAGCAAGGAAGGAAGGC